AACAATATAAAATCGCTTCTCTCTTCTCTTATCTAATATATCCTGCTTTCCACGTTGATAAATCCTTTTGGCATTCCTTGGTCGACCTATCTTGAATGAGCGGATCAGCTATACCAATTATTAGTGGTAGCGTTCCGTAGCGAAGATTTCATCGGATTGCAGCAGCTTACAAGAGACTACACCCAACTGACCACAAATTTAAAGACATAAATATTCAACTTTGAGCTGGATTTTTTATGCATTATGCATTACCCTTATCATCACTTCTTGAGGTTGACCGGCACCTGAAAAATACTGCGTTTTTTACGCCCGCCCAAAATTCTATATACTATCGTGTAAAGTGTAAGATTGTTCAGAGTTCACAGCAGAGTTCAGGCTAATGGGGTAAGTTTTAATGTTGCCAAAACTCAAAGGTGTCTTCTAACGCACGAGAAAAGCGATAAACAGCTCTTCGGTTATGATGGTCTCGATGTAGAACAATCGGCAACCCTTGATATTCTGGGCATAAGAATACAAAAGGATGTTTATTGGACAGAATATGTGTTCGAAGTGTCAAAAAAACACAGCCGAAGACTTAGGTTTTTTAAAGCGGTGCAAAAAATACTTCACTGCAGCCGATATCCCTGCCATTTACCTATACCAGCCTATATTCGGCCGAAATTAGAGTATAACACGCATGTGTGGACGGCAGCATCCAAACTTTACTCGGAGGTTCTCAATCGCATACAGGGAAAAGCTCGGATACTCGTGGGAGACTAAAGTGTATTCAAGACCCTCGATACACTTGAGCATCGACGTGATATGGCTTGTTTTTTACTTATGTATAGGTACGTCCAGGACAAGTGTTGTATTGAGATAAAACCGGTTTTTCGTCCAATTAAGTCCTATTTAACAGAGCTATTCGGCTTTCTCAGCATTCCCACCCACTCATCTTGGCGTTACCTGCATACTGCATGACATGCCGCGACTTGTCGTTTTTGAATCGTACTGCCCACCTTTAGAACAAACTGCCAGCAGTGGTCTTTCCCACCGTGTCTGATGTCTCTATTTTCAAGTCGAACGTTAACAAACACTACTGCCTTCCTCCACACCTCTTTCCCTATAACTCTTCCTGATTACTACCGTGCCTGCACATAGAGGGAACGTACCATGGGTATAGGTAATTATAGAAGCGAAAAAAATAAAAGAGCTAACGCAGTACTGTGCAGTACGGCATAGTAGTAGTCGTTACGTTTTCTTGCGAGTTTCTAAAAACTTAATTATAGTCACAACAGACAATTTTAAGGTTAACATCGTTCGTTTAGACACATCAACGGATAAACATGTCTAAATCAATTTTGCTATTCGCGCCAATCAAGACTATCTCTACTTTGTCCTACTTCGCATGCGTCCAAGCCAAGTATTAGAGCTAACTATATTTTGTCAATCATTCGAATAATGATTGAGTCATCATTCATTATTACATGTTTGAAAATAGTACTCAAAAACAATATATGCACACAGTGATGATTACGTTGATGATTGCGTAAATATATATTGGCCAAACTGTATGCATCCTTTCCAAAGCCAATAAGAGATTGTCGTCCCACTATTGTCATGCTATCGCCATACTATTGCATTATCATTACCAATGCAAACATATGTTAATGGAAAAGTGTACGAAAACAAACACAATAAAGGAAAACTTATGCAGCACCGGGAATTTAGATATTTCGCGCATTTTTTAAACGTACCTCGTGTTTTACATAAAACGCATTACAAGGGATATTATTGAAAAGCAATGAGTTGAAAGACTCCTAGTATTTAAATTTAACAAAACTTATTTCCAAACAATTAAATAATAAAATTGGTTTATTTATAATGATATATATGTAAACTTTTTTCAATGGCGAACGTATTCTCTTTCTATCACTTTTAGGTTTCTACCTATCATTCCTTTCCTTAATGCATATATTTCTCATTTTCTTTCTTTCTCACACTGCCTTTAATATTTGAATAGATAACCGAACGAGAGATCAACCCCATCCATAATTTTGTCCAAAACGCATTGAAAACAAAAAAACAAAAAAAACAAAAAAAAAAAAAACCGAAGAAAACAAAGAGAGATAAATGAAAAAAAAAAAAAAAAAACTGCAGAAGTAACGTAAAATGTTAACATGATACACACACAAATAGATATTAAGATGTTTAGATGTTAATGTGCAATTGTATGCAATTGTATGTAATGGCATGAATGACGGATAATGCGTAACTACATGTAAACTGATTTTCACCATCAATCAATCACATGGCCACCACAGCATCAGGCATGATACAAGAACTAATCCGCTTCAAACCATTGCATCCTCCGTACACGTAAATTATAATGATATTCAACTTGAAAATTGTTTTAAATAAAATGAAATTTTCAAAAATAAAATTTAAAACAAACTTTAAAACAAAACAAAAAAAAAAATAAAAAAAATAAAAATAAAATAAAATAAAGAAATATATTCGACTCAAGGCGAATTTTGAATACCCCCCACCTAAGACGAATACATAAAAATCACGACTCACTATTAAGTTCATAATGTGTCAAGGAGACGCCGGGATATTTACAAAATTATGAAAAGCACATTATTTATCAAAAATTCTATTTACTTAAGCTTTCCTCAAAACGTATGAAAAGGATTTAATTTTTTTTTTTATTTTTTTTTTCGTTCATTCGTTCATACATTAGGCCCGAAAACTTGGGAGATTGCGTATATGAATCACGTCATAAATCGCGCCATACATCCTTTCGTAGATTTTGGGTCGCCTTATTGGAATTATTCCATCCAATATAATACATTGCGCTACGGAAAAGGAAATGTGGTTTCGCAATATTGAGCTAGAACTAGATCAAGGTCAAAAGTTGCGACCAAATTTTTATACTCATTAGCGCTCGTCCTAAAATCTTTATCTCAAATGTTAACGATATTTTTTGCAATTAACAATCATGTAACGAACAAATGGCGCACACCGACAAACCGACAGACATATAAGCAGTAATGGTATCGTCCATAATCTGAAATGCTATCGTTAAAGAGTGTTAAAGCAATCTGACTCTTAATTTAAAGCTTAATACTAAAGCAAAGGAACAAACGCTTACACATCTTTAAAGAATTTAGTGCCAATCGAGAAAAAGGATACGAGAATTTTTTAAAAACTCAAAATTATATTACGCCTTGGAACAGGCTAATAGGAACACATCATTTCATTGAATCCATGTTGAAGGCAATTAAGTCCATAATAAAGTCGCCATTGGCGACTGTAAGGCCAAACACCGCCGCCTATAAATTGTGAAAACTTGATTAAGCAGTTTTACTGCATCACTGCATCTATGGCCTGAACATGATGAGGTCGCACTCTTAGCTGTTTCGTTTGCTATGGATATTAAATTGGCAACCAGTTCCCATGAAAATCAATAGGTGAAAAAATGTCTTGATTAGATGCCACTAAAATTTTATGACGATGAAAACGTTCTACTCAATAAAGCAATGATTGCGTTAACATTATTTTGCAATAAAAAGAATCACGTTCTTAATGTCGACATCCATTGGCTCAATACTTTTGATATATGTATGTAAATAAATACATACATATATATATATATGTATATATATATATATACACTTTCTTTTCGCAAGTTGTTCGAAAGTTTTTCTTTTAAATAATTTCGATAAGTTCTGGGAGCTTTATTATATCGCACAAAACTTAGGACCTCTCTCTCTCTCTCTCTCTCTCTCTCTCTCTCTCCATGGACAGATTGAATTTTGTATTGATAAAAAAAATATACATTTATATACAATTAACAGCTAATCTAATGCATATTCTTGGGTATTACAAACGAAATGACAAAACTGATACTACTATCATCCTAAAGTGTGGTGGTGGGTAAGAAAAAGAAAAATAAAGAGAAGAGTAAACCATAAAGTTAACGGACCCATATACCTAATTAAAAGTACATACGTAAATACATACATACATACATGCATGCATGCATACATAAATACATATACACACACATTGATACACATATATTTATATTATATATATATATATATATAAATATATATATATAATATATATATATATATATATATATATACACGCATATATGCATTCATATTATATAACAGAAAGAAGAAAAGTTCATTATATTTAAACAAAAGAGAGGCATTTTGCTTATCCACATGCATTTGTACGATATTTGTACGGTGAAGACAAAAATGCCTACACGCGTACATCTATAAGCATGAATTGTTACATTCGATCTAAGCAAATAGACTACAATGAACAAACAAGCAAAGAGATAATGAGATATATTTCTATTAATACAAAGGAAATAAATGTATATACATGCGAATTAAAAAAAAAGAAAAGAAAAACAAAGTAATTTATTAAAATTATTTCTTTCTTTTTTCTAATTTATTTACTTACACTTTTATTTTACACGCACATATACACACACACACACACACACAAATATGTATACATATATATATATACGTCTATATATATATATATATATATATATATATATATATAAACAAACCTACAAACTAAATATTAAAAAACAAGCAAAAGGATAAATGAAAATACAATAAATAAAACAAAAAAATTCTATATATGTATGCGAATTACATCTCGGATATGTAATTTGTGTAAAACAAGATGAAGAAATGGAAAAACAAAACAAAAAACAAAATAAAACAATTACAAATTAGTTAAGTGGCAAAACAAAATGAAAACTTTTGTAAGAGCGAAGCATTTAAGCCTCATTGCATGTATGTTGTGATATGATGATACATTCATTGCATATGAATAACAGGCAGTCAACGAGTATCTAGTAAACGTACGCATATGCATATTTACGTATGTGTGTATTTAGGTAATTAATTTACAGCATACATCAAATACTTTACAAAAATTATAAACGAAATTAATTAATAAATTTAAAAAAAAAAACAAATGAGAGAAAACTTAACACAAGGAACGGCAGAAGCAAGAAAAACTATTAACTTTATAGCAACAACAGCAAAAATACTTAATTAAGATAATTTTAATATTAAAAGAAAAACCAAAAAAATTATTTACAAAAAAAAAAAAATAATAATAATAATAATAAAATAAAAACAAAACAACAATAATTCATGTTAACAAGATTAATCGAATGAAAGAAAAGCAAACCAAAAAAAAAAAAAACAAAAAAAAACAAAAAAAAACAAAAAAAAACCGAAAAAAAAAAACAAAAAGAAAAGATAAACAACAACAATACATAATTTTAACAACACATTCTTCTGCGTATTTCTTTATTTAAATTAACACACAAATATAATTGTTTTTCAATTCATGGTGAGCGGTAAGTAAACACTGTGCCTTGGACGTGATCAAATTCTCCGTTCCATTCCGCACTTCCAGTTATGACCCTTCAATCTTCATTATCATCTCCGACCTCACCGCCACGGCCTTCACGTATACGCTTCAATTTACGTTTCAATGTCATGATGCCTACCAATGCAAAAAGAGAACACAAAACGCATAAATCGTTAAAAGCCAGTTTACGTTAAGAAGTCTTCCGCCATCAATTCTCAATGCAATTCAAATTAAATACACGTGTGAGAATATATATATATATATATACATACATACATACACATACACACACAAAATGCTCTTTAAATGCTCTGCATCTTCCTCCAAATTCGCGCATATCGGGGAGTTAGGTGAGCTGTCGTGCCCGAATTTGTGTAGGTACTTCCGAAAACGAGCACATAATGTTCTACTGCTGCAGATTTGAGAACGGGCGACCTCAATTGCCACCTAACGAGATCACGCGCGTAATGTTCGGCAGTGCAGTAAGCCTGGAACGCCGTAGACGCTTTCGCTAGCGATACCCTCGTGCAGTTACAATGACTGGAGAGACAACCGGTGGAGAGCAGAGGGAGTGGAAGCCAATAGTGTATTCCACTGAGATCGCACCGTTGCAAGCGTGCTAATGACAACCAGCCTCAGCGAAGTAATACCAAATGGTGGTCCCGCGCGGGAGTGTGGTAGAAGAAGCGTGTGGGGGAATAGTTTTTTGTACGTGGAAATCGTGCATACTGCCACTAAGGGACCAGCAGTATCTTTAAAAGATTTTCTACCTCCTGCTCGCAGAGCAGAAAAGAAAAAACCCACACACACACACACATCAATTGACTGAATTTTCGGTACATTTTCAGTTGCTAATTGGAAATTTTTTTTTTTTTTTACCCACATCCTTGACAGATAAGCATTATAAAGTTAGATGAAGTTTTATGTACATTTGTTTTTTGAGGTTATTCCTAGCAATATATTTGAATTTGTTGTGTTGTTTTCGTTTCCCTAGCATATGCGAACACGCATTTAGCCACATTCCACACATTTCAAGTTTCTGTCCCGACATGAATTTCAATAAAAATTAATAAAAACAAATTTTGTATATTTTGAAATTTTCATAGCCATCGTCCTAGGAATGTGGCATCCTACGTGCTTCTTAACGTTTACAAGCGATACGCTAAAGATACAATTCGAATATTCCTTAAAGTAGGTATCTAAATTCTTGATCTGAGTCAACGTAGCCTAGTCCGTTTGTTTCTTCGCCTTTGTCTTGTAACTAACGAGCTGTAAAAGATATTAAGCTGAAGCTTGACATAAAGAGCCATAAGACCGTTCAAGACCAGTCAAATGAGATAGAAACTCTCATCGATCAGCCAACGTATCAACAATTAACAAAAATCTTTAATATTTTTATGCATTCGTAAGAGATGCCGAATATTAGAAACTGCATTATCAGGCCCTCTAAACTCTTTCGTTTTGGAAATATTCGGCAACAAGATGGATACACGTTTATACTATATACTTAAGCAATTTCTGATTGACATGCTCAAAACATAAGTTGTACGTGTGCAAATGTTATGCTCCTCAGCCCAATTTCATTTCGCATGTTGCGATGGATAATTCTTCCGTCGTCACTTTTGGTTTTTTTCATATTTCTATATCCGTAGTAATCGATTCATTTTGTCAAAATGTTTGCAAAACCTAGAAGCAAGCTTCACAGACCCCATTAATAATGTCCTATATATTCTTAATCAATGTCATATTCTGAATCGACTTCCGTCAGTCTGTGTAATGTCTCTTGTAAAAATCCTTCTGGCCGCAAAAATCAGCAGCAATCGACTATAAATTTGGAAAGAAAGTTTAACAGTTCTTGCACGCAAGTAACAACACAAGCTGAAACGGTCTCAATTTTCAGAAGTAAAAACAGTTTAGTTCTGTTTGCTCCTTACTTATAAACCACAACCGGTACTACGATAAAAGTTTGCAATTATATTGTATGGGTTGTTCTGTTCTGCACCTGCACAAACTTGTAAGAATTATCCTGCACATTGCTCGCATGAAGATACATTATGTGTTAATTCTGATATGAATCTGGTGGATCCCTCACAATATCTTACTATAATCAGTTGGGTATCAAGTAAAAAGAACTTCGAGAGGAGAATGCGACTAGCGAAGTATGTTAATTCTAAATTAAATATTGCAGACGTCGGATTATGGTGGTAATGAGTAGAAAAGACTCGGTCGCGCCCAAAAAAAGCAAAAAAAGTGAAAGAAAAAATGCGCAGATAATTTCTTCTATTTTCAATGGAAGCATTTCAATAAAATAGTTTTTGCCGTTTAGGCATGTGGGCGTTGTAGGTGTGTTCTTTGAAAAGTTTAAGTCAATTACAAATTCTTTTGCAATTTTGTTGGCGATATCTTCGTTTTCGCTAACGGGAGAATGTTTACCACAAATGCTATGAAGTTTGGTTAAACAGACAGCTAAACAGATGAACAGACAAGCAGAAGATTTGGAACTGAACTCTAAGAATTTGTATACTCTATGGGGTTTATGAAACTTGTTTTTGTGTGCTATAAAGGTATTGAAAAAATAATTACATTTTCATAAACTTTTTTTCTTTTTTTTTGGCGCACAAATGCTATAGCATCGCTCATAGAATATGCTTTCAAATTTTCAGATATTTATTTGCTATAGCTTATGAGTAATGAACAAAAAAAAAAAACAATTTTTCATTCTCTTCTTAAAAAGCAGAGGAATTATCAGTTTACGTGGTGCTATAGCCGCGTCCTTCGACCGATTTCACCCATTTTCAATAGCAATGAGTTATGCAAGCATTTTCAATGTTTCTGCTTCGGTTTGAAATCGATAGCTACATTTTTGCGGCCAGGAGAATGTTTACAACAGGCATTACACAGACGCGCAGACGAATAGACAGACATAGGTATATGTACGAGTGATGGTTTTAAAGAAAGTCACCAAAAGTCGTCTCTAACAGTGAGTTCATATTGTTTTTAGAAGATGTCAATGCTTAAACGACATCTGTCGCACTTTACATCATTTCGATCATTTAGTTACGCGTTGCAATGTGATGCCACTTTTGTTTGTTTTGTTGGAAAAGAACGGAAACATCCAGCTTTCTTATCTTGATTAAAGATTGCTTTTTAAAGAGGAGGTAACACAATACACCCTCGGGATTGGCCTAAAAAGAGTTATAGCAACTTCTCTCTCAGTCGAAAGGAATAACTTGTGGGTAGTTTACTGATTTTCAGTGTGGTATAGGATAGTAGTAAGGATACGGATGATGGCGGATACAGTGAACGGCTAAAGAAAATGATTACATCTGAAAGTGTTGAAACTTATTCTTGGCAATTGAAGAAGTCAAGTTACAAGAACTAAAAATCGCATTGTAAAAATAGTAATTTTTTGCTTTGTCCCGAGAATTATTGATCAAATATTAACGCCTAAATTCTAATACTTTTTGTTCAGAACGAATTCCTTATTCATGGTTTTTGGACTGATAAGCCTTTTGAATAATAATTTGCTTCACTCACATTTAATAGCCTGAAATGCCTTGGCTGAGGAATTTTCTGTAGCGCTGCTATTACAAAAAGTGCTGGTGCATAGCTTTTCATGCGATATTTTCACTTCTATATAGGCCTTTTTTAACGCTTTAAAATGACGATATTCACTGGAATCCTTCAGCATAATACATTTGGCTGCCGAGCCTTCACCGCAGCAATCCGTCGGTGAATTATGATAAATTTGATGATAAAAATATTGCAATACCGGTGAATTCCAAATACTTAAGCCGTACCACAGCCAGACGACTATATTTAATATTAATTTGAAATTTTTCGCAAACAATGTTGGCACTAAATATTTGAAGGGTAACAAGCTAACGAAGACATGCGACCTATAATAAATGAAATTAATATGAAAAAAAAATTTTAATTTTGATATATACATACGTTACTTACCAGGATGCTATACGCATTCCCAAAAATATTTGATTAAGTATTAAGTTTCTTTTTGAATTTTGTAGAGCTAATAAAACTAGAAAGTCCGTGACGATGTTATAGATGCCAATATTTAAATTCAATCCGACAAAATAATATTCGTACCTATTAGATATGATATTTTTTTTTAGTTAAAAAACGTTCGCTAAAACATTAAAAATATGATGAAAAGCCATCCGTTTATTGCTCTATTAAAGCAAATTATTTTTTATTGTATTCATGGAACAATGAAACAATTTTTGTGCAATTCAAACGATAATTTCATAAACGGGGAAAAGTAATAAATATTATAAAAAACTTACTTATAGACATCCATAGCGATTAATGTTAGTAAATATAATGACTTCGAAGCCGTTTCCAAATAATCTGATTCCTTTAAATCGAGCATAGCACCGTGTAGGTAAAACGTAATTATGAATAATGAATAAAATTGAAATTTTTCACATTGTTGCGATTTGTAAAATATGAGGTTCTCCGATGAGTAGAACAGCGAATAGCGGCCTTGATTTTTCAATAGTTGAGGTAAAATCATATACTCATTGTAGAAGTACAAAAAGAATGAACTAGCGGCATAAAAAGCTATATTCCATATTGATCGAACGAACTGCTTCCGTTTATAGTAACTGATAGTAGATGTTTTGAGGAAAATCTATAATTATAACAAGATATAGAATATATATATTTATTAGATATAGAATATATATATATATTATATAAGAACACTTTGGCGCTATCAGTCTCTCAGGTATAAAAACAAGTATGTGCACTTACAAATAGGAAAATTGCATATTTGCAAAGCTATGGACCGATATGACTAATTACTGTATGAGAGTAAAACAGAATTTATAGAACTTATCTAAAACCCAAAAAGGACAATTTTGAAATCACATTCAGCCAGAAGGATTAACGTAAATTGATTTATTTCTCGTCCTGATCCAGTCTACTATTATACATAATGAAGAATGTATATGTGAAACAAGTAAGGATGCTATAGACGGGCAAGATCGGTTATTAGATACCCTACATCAACAACTTTCATGAAATCACTCATATTGCAGCATAACAAATTACAAATTAGACTTTACCGCCATAGACAGCTTGCTTTGAAGATGATCCTTGAACATGATGCGAGCTAAAAAAATAGATCTACATAATCTAAATTGCCTCTCGTTGATTTACTGACGACAAGTTCTCATCATAGAATAAAAAAAATTCGATCATTTCGGCATATAAGGCCTTATTTTTCATTACAAACTTTGTACGGATTGGGATTCAAAAATAGTACCTACGTGATCCAAATTCGTTTAAGTTAATTTTTAATTCAAATTATTGTTATGAACGTATTTTCATGATGAAGTATTGACAATTATCAATATTCAGTTTCCGTAAGAATAAGGGGTTCAAAACACTGCCCCATCCGATCCAAACTTTTCACACCAATTTAGAATGTCATTGTATTATTACTAAGCGGCAGCATTTTTTCAGCCGTTCTTCTCGTCGAAAAGTACTAAGTGCGAAATTTTGTACGTGTGTTAAGTCTCACTTTTTATGAGAGTCATTGTAAAAGATGGGATCCAAAAAAATTGATCTTCGAGATCCAAATTTGAAGCAACTAATGTTTATGTCAATTTATTATTATGGACCAATTGTCACTGTGAAATATTAAAAATCGGAAAAGTAGTGCAATCCGATAGGGTTCGTCTTTGAGCCAAATCACGTCAGCATACGAAATTTTCTCAAAACATGTCAAAAAAAACAACAAAAGCAGTTGACTGGTTAATATTGCCCAAATTACGCGATTTTAGAGACTGAGAACAAGAATGTGAAGTTTTTCCTTCCTTTCGAGTGAGGCTTTTTACGGTTTGCAAGCTTATTTGTTCGACCTAGAGAAGAAATTTTTCCATGACAATTTTACTCTCAATGCACCTGCTAGGCTTATAACAGCCTTCCTTGAGATATTATGATTAACTTGAGGAAGGTCTCGGCTATAGAAAGAGCGTCGTTGCACTGTCATCATATAGCCCATTAGCACGAAATTTCTTTCAAGCCTACAGATTCAAGGAGTCGGTTTACAATTCTTTATATCCAGCTAACGTACGATGCGAAAAACCAAAATATGATCGCATTTTGTGTCGATAGTATCGAGTTTGGCCTTTAGTTCGTTGTACATGTAACGCTATATTTGTTATATATTTGGTGTATATATCACAAAATACTACAGAAAAGTGAGTAAATAAATAAACAAAATATAAAATTTGTATAAAAATCAAATCTATTAAACAAAAAACACAAAAAAAAAATTAAACAAATTGAATTAAATAAATTATTGTTTTATTTAACTGAACTAATACTTGATAGCTTCATGACTACCTTGACATTTATAATTTCCATACTGAACTACTGTCTGCCTATACACTGCTCAAACACGCCCTATTCATTTCGTCTTTGCAGGATAATGCCCGGGCCGTAAACTGGCCCAAGGTTTCTTCAAGTCTATGAAAGATTAGCAATAAAGTAGCGATCAGAAAACTTTGCCTTTTGACAGAAACTATGTTATAATAATGTATCAAATAATGAAATTATTTGAATAAAAGGTTGAAATTCAGATTCATGCTCTGTAGAAGTTATTCAATGCTTGTTGGTTTTTAAAGAAGTCAAGCAAATCATTGCAAAATTCATTTTATCAAATCTTGTACAACAACTCCGATGAAAATTTATTTTAATTAAGGCCTAAATATTTTTATTACCGACCAAATATATATACATATGTATGTATATGAAATGTGAATAGTTAAAAAGTAAAGGACATAAATCCATAATCATTTAACAGTAAAATGACTTAAAAATGTTAATTAAATATTAATATATATAAAATGATGTAAAAAGATTACATTGACGTAATCCGAAATTCCATTCAATTTTGCAACTTTATATTTAGCAAATTTTTAAAAATCACATCGTTCCTATATAAGGCAAGTAGTGCAATTAATGCATTTGCGCCGGTAGTTTTAAAAGTTATGCATCAACGTTTACCTAAATAAACTGAGGTAGCTTACACGCTTCTTATATTATAAAAAAGTTTATAGCTTAAGTGCAACAAATAGAATAAGAATTATTAGCGGACTTATAGATACGGGTGGTGAACGGAGAAGCCAAGCACCATTCATGCCATATCTTCGTTTTGGTAGCGCGGCGCCAGAAATGCATTTCAATTATTTGTCCTCTTTTCATTTCTAACGGATTCGTCAGGGGAAAGTATGTATGAAGCCAAGAAGGCAAACAATGTGTATGTGTACATGAATTAACACTTCTTATCACAATATCACCGTACAAAGTAATTTCCAAATAGCCACATACTCCAGTTAAGACGCAATCCATTTTCACAGAAAAATTCAAGATTTTATAAAGGCTACTATCGATAAATGCATCACGGCTGGGATGTAAAAATGTAAAAAGAGGTTGCGGAATACCAATATTGTAGATACCTTTTGATGGAGCTGCGAGGCCAGTTTCACTATGGGAATGATAATCTCCCTGTCTATCGGGAGCAAAATTCCTTTTATGCACGATTTGACGAACATCATTAAAGAGTTTAAATGACATAATTGGGTTAACATATGAGATCGATTGACTGGGCATGCTAATGCCGTCCGGTTTGAGAAAATGTTGAGCGTAATCGAGACGTTCGAGGAATAATTCGTGATCTTTGAAAGAACCCGACAATTCAGAGACTAAAATGTCAGCCTTTTCTGGCGGAGATCCTTCAAGCATATCACTTGAGAAGAGGCGAACATCTTTCGTAGACCAAAACTTTTCAGTCATAGCGGCTAAGGTCCTTATGGCATTATGAGTTTTCTCAATTATATAAACGCGAACTTTACGTTTTGTATACTCGGCTGCATTTAAAGCAGATTGCACCAGGGATCCTTTTCCAGCTCCCAAAATCATTATAACGGTCAGTTTATCGTCAATTTCTTGATCGGATACACGATCGATTAAAGCGGCAGCTATAGCATTCTGATAAAATTCATATTTCATCGATTTCTTTTCAAATATTTCATGTGCTCGACAATCGAAATTCCCATATAGCGGTGACGATTGAGTCTTCAGAATGTCGTCGGAATCTTGCAAACGCTGTGCATCCTTATGAACATCTCGAAAATTACGTAAATAGTCTGAATGAAGTTTAAAATTAGCATTATTAGCACCAGCAGCAGTCGCCAAAATAATGTTGACATTCAATTGCAAAAAATGTAATAAAATCTTTTGCCAAGCTTCCGATAACGACGGATTATTTTGGCAATCCCGTGTGAACATAGTCGACGGTATAACAACTGCTTCGATTGGCTCGCCCAACCAACGGTGCACGATATCCAAATTAGGTTCTTCAATTTCATTAAATTCTAGTACTACCCTCAATTTAATATCAAAATCGGCAGCACAACGAAAACGATTCCACCACTGCCAAGCATCTTGTCGATTCAAATCCAATACATTTTCTTCACTTAGATCGCGACGCCACAATGCTTGGGCTACTGCCGCATTGTATAAGGGCACTTGTACTAAGATAACACCTTTAATTTTTTGTAACATTACACGAGCTAAATTCAGATTATTACCATGTCTCAATTTTATCATTGTGTAGCCACTACATTGTAAGTGGCCAGCCCACGACACATCGCGTTTTAGAATTTCCTCAGAACGTTTCCTAACAATAGGATCCGAAGAATCACAATCAATGCTGTCAGATAATATGACTATCACTTTACTATTCCATTCATTAGTAGTTAATAGTAAATCGCTGTAAGTGAATTGTAAATCAGTTTTGTTCATAGATTCTTGTCGAAATTCTTGAGGAATTTCCATTGCATTTATAGGAACTGCTATTACACTGAAACCATTCATATTAGCTTTTTTGATGAATAGCTGCAAATTAGCATTGCCTTCCTGCAGCAAACATAGGTATGACATTATACAAATTTTCCAATTTCCAAGATATTATCCAAATTTCAGCAAACAGCACCAACTTCAGCTCGACAGTTATAAAAAACTCTAGTTAGTATTCTCATAAGCGGCAAACAATCGACAAAGTCAATTAACCATAGAGTGTTTCAAAATTGTACATGCATACAAAAATGATAGCGCTGGTGTTAAATGTCGAAATTATTAAGAAGAATATGTAATTTTTCGGCAAATCCTTCTCAGTACGTAATGCAATAACTTAACAGAATGAAATCCTAATACCCATCTACTGTTTTCTCTTTTTAAACGCAAATTCAATAATTGCAGTATAAAATTTTTTCAAGCTCCTAATAACTTTGAATTATATTGTGAATCGAATTTATCGGTGCGCAGCTTTTTCTAGAATCGATAAAAATCGAAGTCAATGCAAATTATCGATTATTTTCATCACGTAACAGCTGCTTTGAACGTTCGCTGCCTGCATGTTATTTATACATTCTGGGGATCTACAATCGCTATTACGTGCATGTATATATGTACATAAGTAAATTTATATATATATGTAGAAACGCACATACCTCGCAAAGTTTATAAAATCCAAAAAATCCAAAGCTGAACATTAAGAAAATCCAGAACATTGCATTTGTCAGGTAATTGAAGTCTACATTTTGTAATAACGAATCAAAATTTTCGTTGGTTATTATAAATTTGAGCGGTACGAAAAAATTGCTCAGCTCTTCCCACAACGTCGGTTTGCCCGACTGCATATCCAATATGGAAGTCATTTTGCACCTGTTTAACCGTCCACTCACAACTTCAATGCCATAAATTTACTGCCATCAAAGGTTAACTTATCAGTTTGCCCTAAATAATTTCGTATCACTGCAATTATATCACAGCCCCTAAAATAATTTTACTTACATGTCAAACAGCTGTTGCGGTGTCATCGACGATGCCTTCAGATGACAATAAAATCCGCAAACAAAATGCTGCCGTTAATATTAACCCTTTTGATTCGTATGCTTGCAATTACAACAAATCCAATCAAGAGGATTGAACGGCTGCAAAAAGTATTCTGTCTGTCGTGCGTTTAGCAATCGTTGAAAGAGAAAACATCGCGTTTTGCAATTAATTTTTTCTCTTCTTTTTTTTTTTGTTTTTTTTTTTGCTGTTGATTATTCATATCAATATGTTGCAAATATCTTAGCTTGGACATCAATCACGCGGCGTCAGTTGTACGAAATGTGCTTTGGTAAGCACTACCCGAAACTGATTTCTCCAATTTTTAATATAACAAAGGGAGAAAATTAATAATGATATGTTTTATGACATAATCGATTCCACTATTCAGTCTGATCAAGAACCTGTATGCGTTACATAATTTTGGTTAGGTACATATTTATATATACATATATACATTTATATATAAATAATATATTTTAATATTTAGTATGCAAGATAAATTGTTTTAACTTTACTCTCTCACTAAAACTGCTCTGGCGGTTTATATATGTATATCTACTTCAGTCCAAGTACGACCATATAACAGATTTTTTATAGAATTGCCTTAGTGAGAAAAAGTATCAAACGAAGTTGAAGTGGGACAGAGTTGGGCAACGATTCGTTAGTGAACGTGCTCTTCTTCTGCTGATCCTTGGTTCATTAGCAAATTCTTTAGCCAATTAGAAAACATATTATTTTGTGGTCACTTTTTCATTAGATGGTTTTCGGCGAAAAAAAAATCTAAATACTGATTGTCACAAAGACCCAAATACAAGGAAATAGTTTCAAGGTCGACCTACTTTTCATTACATTTACGCATTGCTCATTGCGGCATTTGATCAAATATGCAAATTTCGCACTGAGTCAAATCCTAGGAAGGCGTCAAATTGTTACAAGAGCTTGTTTTCGAGCACAAGTTTACATTGACTTTCAATTGAAAACATAATCCTTATATGCAGATTGAGGTTTATAAGAATTATTATCACATGGATTAGCATCGCAAACAGCGCTCATCTATCTAAATTAATTTTTCCAATTCTTTAAAACTTTGGGGAAACGTTTCAAGATTCTCTTAGAATTTTATTCAACTCATTTCTCTCATCAGAAATTATGCAACTGATAAGAACACCCGGTGATAAACTCCTTCACCTACTATTGTAAGATTATCCTTTCAGGTCCTCATTGTGCTTACAGAAAATGATTTTCTCAATTCACTCGAAATGTTTCTGGTTAATCGTGCTAGGGCTAGTTAATCGATTCCCATTAAAATTTGTAAATTATTCTATGAAATATTAATTCAAAAATGGAAAATTTTTGCGTTTTTTTTTTTTTTTTGTTCACATATAACTTTAGTTTTTTTGATCTTATATTATGGACTTGTTGTGAGCACTTGTGGGAACTTAGCCTCCTGTCCTTAATAGCACATGTTGACTTCATTTTTACAACTATGGCAATCTCTAAAAAAGCTATGCAACTAATGAACACACTTCGATAGAAATAATAGAGATAGACGTCATAGATACAAGTCATCTGGTATAAATGTTTCCCTTCGTTAATTTTCGTTAATTGTCTGTTGTTACTGAAAATTCAAATTCAAATATATTCAAATAGTCGACAAATTAATTGACATTAATTCTCATAATTCGCTTACCTTAGATATATTCTTCTAATTATTTTTACTTATTGTTTTATGTGTAAATAATTTTTTTTCAATTTCATTGCTTTTAGGTGCGAAGGCAATTTTATAAAAAAAAAAAGAAAAAAAATTGAAAAAAATGAATAAAATCATGGTAAGTGTAAAAAGAAATTATATGTGTGTGCAAAAGATATAAATAAATTTAATGAATTTGTAATAAATTTTACTCGAATAAAATTTTCTAGTGTTCCGACCGCAAGTCACTTAGACAAATCAGGTTATCCGCTTAGATATGCGGCAACGTATGAAACCAATATATTAAAGATAATTCTCAAGTTGAGGGATTTTTTAGATCTTCCTGTAGAATGCATGAGATTTGCAATACCGTTAACCATTTGTATCAAACCTCACCTAATCCGAAACTTTTAGTTGTCGAGTCTGATTTTTTTGTCAGCCTCGTGTTGCTCAAGTAGACTAGAGTGGCATACCAAATGTACTATGTGTGTACGTGTATGCAGTAATATAATTGGAAATTTGTCTACTTCGTTTATTGTATTTGTCCTGTTTTATTCGTTCAGCTGCAATTTTTCTTCACTTTCCGATATTCCCCCTGATGTTCTCCTATACCGAGCACAAAGAAGAAAAGCAGAACAGATAACAAAAGGGCCATCTTAACTAGTTCGCTTAGCTTTCAAACGTGCAAACTCATACATATATATACAAATATATATGATCTATGATCGGACATTATAATATTTGCGTTAAAATGCGAGAAATTTTCAATGTGCGCTTTTTTTGGATATTACAGAACCCATCTGATGTTTGCAAAATCAGTGACTTGCCTGCTAATCCGATCGAAATGTTTAATACTTTAATTAAAAGGGCCGGTGTAAAGTACATTCCAATGAATCTGGCTACCGTTGATAGGTATGGTATCTAACTAATCTAATAGATTTCCTACACGAAATAATAAGTGATATAAAATTTTTATTCTAGCGAATTTTGTGTTTTGAACCGTACAATAGTGTATCGTGGCTTGACTGATAACTCAGAGATTTGCTTTGTTACCGAACGTAATAGCCGAAAATATAAGAATTTAAAAGCAAATCCAAAATCAGCTTTGACCATTCTACTAAATATTGGTTTAGAAGAAGAGAACCGGGAAACTTGGCAAATACGTTTAATGAATGCTTGTGCTGTTGAAATTGATGATCAAGCGATTTTATCAAAATTTTGGCAAGAGGAGCCGCTATTCGCTAAGATTCGCAGCCATATTGTTGAATGTGGCAAACCGATGAATCATGAAGAGCTCATATTAAAACACAACAAATTATTAGCAAACTATCAATCGGGCCAGAATACTTTAGAGCAATCCCCATCATAGTATTTTAATTCATTGGTTAAATCTCAACAAGCGGATAATTAATTTGGTCTTCTTTTCTTTTTTTCTTTTTTTTAATATTAATTTCTAGTACCGCTTTTAAGATATTACCCAAGTTATGGGACTTTTATAAATCTGAGCCTGGGAAGATAGCTGACCGCGTGCAATACAAACTCTGTGATAACAAAGTCAATGAATGGACAACTTATCATGTTGCTGCTTAAAAATCCATCAATGGGAATTGTCAGACTACATGCTATACTTAATTCCGATCAGCTTCGTCAAAAAAAAAAAAATAAATAAAAAATTCGAAATATTAACAAAACATTTAATATATTTATTTATTCAATAACTTAGAGGCAAAAAAAAAAAAAAAGAAATTCCAACAGGTTAATTAACAATAAATATTTACGTTATTATGCGTGTAGGTATTCTGCGCAATGCAATAAAAGAACTTAATGCTAAAGTTGTAGTTTTATTGTCGATTTCTTCTTTGTTTTTGGTTCAGAATGCACATTAATTGTTGGAACTTTAATAAATCTTTGCGTGATGAAGTTCCATTTGTTTAGACATGTATTTCATTTCCGATTTACGCGATATTTTTGTTACCAGGAAGTGAAAAGTACAAACTAACGAATTTATATATAAATGTAAGATAAGAGGGAAGAGGAAAATATTTTTTTTTGTTCTATGAAGCATTCATGATTTCTCGTATCCAAGCTGTATTCGATGAGATTTTATCATACATTCGCGGTCTTTCCACACCTGAAGGCCCGCAAGCTATACGCCACGAAGAAACTCCAATTAGAGCCCATTGATTAGTTTCTGGTATTAAGCATTGCACGGGAGCTCCTGAATATTCCTCTTGCTAACATAGAAGTTGAACGATTTGATTCAGTCAGTCTTTTTACTTTTTCATTTTAGAATTTTTTACTTACCGTGCAATCATGTTTCTGGAAAGTGGCTTCGGTGCACATGCTATTGACGGTGGCAATTGAAATATTTTCACATGCCGCCATATCGCCAATTTTTAATTGTACTCGCTGCAGGTGATCGCGCTGCCGCGACCAGCCTAGCGTGTTGCAGTGTGTCCAAATCTGGTCTTGTGATGATATAAAATTAGGATCTTTACTTGCCGATGACGCTGAGGACATCCGAGCACCGTAATATTGTACTTGTGGCGCGCTTTCTAAAATTGGATAATTACCCAAGTTGTCCTCAAGTTTGGTTAAAGCTTCGGCTTTTGGCATATTGTGGCGTTGTTGAGCTACATTGTCAAATTGATAGTCGAAAGATTCCTGTTCCGGCACGAGATTTGTGTGCGGCTGGCTTAGTGTTGGAGAAATAAAGTATTGCTGCGTTTCATGCTCTAGCCGCTTAACAATAAAGCGATCGGCGTTTGTGCTTTCTAATCGTTCAGCTCTTGGCACAAAGGAGCGCCTCTGCATTTGATTTGCTTCCTGCCTTTGCAAACGATCGGGCAAACAAATGGGACGTACGTGATCGGAAAATACGACCGGAGTTTCAAGTCTTATTAAAGCTGCAGTAGATCCTTCCACCGGACTTTTAATCATACCTATAACACGGCGACGTTGTGTCCAAGGAGCTGTAGAAGCCAAACGTACAGAACCAAAAATTGCCATCCATGTCGCGCGCGGTTGCCCCTGAAAGCACGATTCCGTGGTTAGAACCCAATTTTTAGATATCTGCAAATGAAGAATAAAATTCACATATCGTTCTTTCAAAATCACTTCAACCCACTTACCAAAGTACCGTCACAGACGTGAACGTCTTCACGATATAAGGCGACCAACCACGGCCAATCTCCGGGCGCTGCAATTTTAGGCAATGTCAAATATTTTTTACCGGAAAGTACGGATTGCACACCACATTGTAAGTCACCGCAGCCAACGTATAGTACTTCACGACGAGGACAGTGTGTGCGTACAAAAGAAATTTCTGGTGCATGCGGATCCAAAACTCGTACATAATCGTCAACTATTTCAGTGTCATTTTGTACTGCAAATGTTTCAACAGATCTAAAAAGGGCGACATAGTGACAAGGCAGATTTGTATATCAAGAAACCCGAAACTATCTAAAATAGGACACTTACTCATATCCCAAAGATTTACAAAGAGACTCTGCAACGGTTTGTCTTATCATCAGTTTCCCTTCGCCTTGCAGACCTTCGGCGCAAAGTTTTCCAACTTGCCCCTTTTCAAAAAATACCGCATAACCCTCGGAATTGAATTGAGGCAAATATGGCACCAATAAATCAGACTTCATTAAATCAAGAGCAAGCGGTGCAATGGCCACTAAAAAGTTAAATTCAAATGCATTGCGTTTTCTTCTACGTTATTATGAAAGTTCTTACAACAGTCCTTTTCGTCGGTACCATCCGGACAATCCGGTTTGCCGTCACAACGCGCTCGCCGTGGTATACACGCCCGTCCCCGCCCGCAATACAATGAATTGCTATTGCAAAAGGAGCAGGCACGCTCATCTGACAGGTCAGGACAATCAGGATAGCCGTCGCATAAACGAGTACTTTGAGCTTTGCTATTCAAATCGTTGGCACATCCGGGTTTCTGACGACATGACTGAATCCCTGTTGCCTCGGGGAAAGATTCACAATTAAAATAGACTGTGAACTTTTTCGGTAATCGATTACCACATCCCTTCATAAATTGTTCACAATATTCGCGACAAATACTGCTTGAATCTCTTTGAATCTCTTTGCTATGAAGATCACAAGGCGGTTGTAGCAAACGACAAATAAAATCAAATGCCTCGCGAAAACATTCTGCGTCGACCAGCTCCCGAAATGTGATGACATCCTCGTATACTTCGTCGAACGAATTATGGCCCAACAAATTCGGATATGTCGTAACATTGTATCCAATGGAACGGCAATAGTCCAGCTTTAAGGGTTCGCAGCGTCTTTGCGGTTTTTCGGTTGTCGTCGCGACTTCTGTTGTTTCGTCCGTAACACCTAACCGGGAGGAAGATGTGGTCGGTTCATCCGTAATACCCGTAATCTCTCTGATAGTAAAGCTCTCGGGGTCTACTGTTACATCGGCAAAAAATTTCGATTGAGAATTTCGGAATTCTTCACCGAATAAAGCTAATATGTCAGCAACCGATACTAAACTCGCATACGGATTAAAAATCAGATTGAAATGCACAACAATATCGTTGGTGTCTTCAAAGCTACAATCAACCAAACGATACAAAATATATATATATATATATATATATATATATATATATAATTCAAGCATATAGCAAATAGGGAAATTGAATATGATCTCACCCGTCAAGCGCTAAGATTTCACTTCGCTCAAATGCTTCCCTTAAATCGGAACGTCGTATAACTAAATTAATGCGTTCACGGTAATCTCTACCTTTGCTTTGAAATCGCTGAGACTTATGATCTGCCAAATCCATTGTCCATTTATCATTGCGGATATGAAACTTTCCGCGAAACATTCGATCAGGTAACGGTTCTGGTTTGAAATAAGTGTCTGCATGATCGATATTAAATTATTAAATATATGCATAATTTTTTTACATAATTTATTATAATATGCACACTTTCACTTACAACCAACATAGACGAATGCACCGACTATCAAAAGGGCGACGAGTATTGCTGCGATGACTGCACAGCCACATTTCTGGCTATCACCTAATTTTCTCCTAGTAAAGCGTATATCTGAATCTGTGGACAAAACTGATTCCGTTTTTCTTCGATGCCCACCACGAATATGATGGATATGATGACTGTGATTACCACCACTATTGTGATGATGGACATGATCAGCGGAACCGTTGCTGCAACCGTTATGCGTTGAATGACTGTGCGCTTTCTGATGTCGTGCACATCGTGTATTATGGAAAATTTTTGGTGGCACTATCGTTGTCGATGTATTACACCCATTAGTTTCACCTACCTGGTCGTCTACATATTTTTGTACAGCCTAAAAAGCATTAACAAACGCTTCAACTTTCTAACACTGAATACTCAAACAAGTTTCTAGTTGATCAACCGTCTAGTTTACAAAAATATATTTACCTTTGTGTTCCAGTTTGATTTGCCAACGACGATTGAATTTCGTTTTCCGTTGCATACATTATTATTGTCCCGCATACAATTGCTGTTGTTATTGGTCTTGTTAATACTATCTGGACTCCTTGACGATTTATCTGAATTGTGATTATGTGTGCTTTCCAAGGAGCCGGACTTCTTATTCTGCAAATGTAGGCGAAAATTAAGAAAACAAAAATGAAAGGAAAACAATTAAGAAAACCATAGACCCATTATCCTCTATCTCTCTCTCTCTTTTTCTCTCTCTCTCTCTCTCTCTCATTCTCTCTCTCTCTCTCTCTCTCTCTCTCTTTATAAATAATTATTATGTTTTTTTTGTTTTGCATTATCGATGCATGAGTTAATTTATCAGAATTACGTTACACTGGCATTTGAAACCGCCATGGAAAGTAATTGTTTGCAATATATTGAACTAAGTACACCTTATAAATAACTTAAAGTTAAAAAGTCGATTAAAATTTCTTGCCTGTACGAACGAGTTTATGAGTAAGTATGAGAGCTTGAAAAGTTTTTCAAGTTCTAGATTAATATCTAGATTATAAGTTTGTTGCTAGACACGTACCTATATATATATATAAATATATATATATATATATATATAACATATACTCTGAGTTTCGACTTTGATTTTCTATATTTGCGATCGTGAACCATTCCGCACAACAGACGATAGAAAAACAGATAGATGGGTAAACAGACGGACAGAGAAATGCATTGAAATTTACACACAATCTATTGTCGATTGAAATTTGTATATACCTTGGATAACCATTGGGACATACTTCTGTGTGTTCTGTCTGTTTTCTTAAACGGTTGTATATGTCATTTATTTTCGACATTGAACAAGTGCTACATTTTACACTTCCACAGAGAAGACAATAGATTTCGATATCGTGCGAATTCTTTTCAACTTTTAAGTTCTTACTTACTGTGGTTTGTACAACTTCTTCTTCTGTTATTCACAAAAGTAACAAACCAAACCAAAAATTCGCTGTGATATCCAAAGAAGGCCCTTTGGGCCTTAGTAAAGTTGGGGTCTCGTTATTTTTTTTTCTTTTTTTTTTTTGTAGTTTTTATTAAAATATGCAAATTACTCGTCCGCCGTGTAGGGTGGAACGTAACAGCGATAAGTAAATCCCGATGTGTAAGATGTAATATGGTATACGCGTGTAAAGAGTTATATGAAGGAACTGATAGGTGTGAGAGCAGAAAAATGTAGAGAGAGTAGGCTCATGAATTGACTGTAAACGCTTGCCTTGATGACATGATGTAAGAAAAGAAAAGCATTGCGGCGTAAGCTGTTAAAATGCGAGAACGCAAAATGTTACGAATGCTGTGATCACGAAGATCACATATAGTCTTTTTGCGAAATGTGGAATGGTGGACAGAGGTGGTATTAGTCCGACAAACGAATAGAATATGATCAGGAGATTATAAGATTCCACATAATGTGCATAAAGGGTTGTCTACTATGTTAACTTTGAACAGATGATCATTGCATCTCGTCTGATTGAACATCAGCCTGACGCCGCAATTGAGAAACCAAGGGGCTTTGTTTATTATTATATTTTTGTGGATTGTCCTTCAATCTGCAGAAATTACACCACGATCTTTAAAATGAGATGGTCCGGAAGATGCAATTCTATCTGCAGTGTTATAGCCAAGAATGTCAATGCGACTGGGCACTCAGACAAAGTGCAAACAAAATGCATCAGACTTGAGGCTATAAAGTAATGAACTGATTTCTAATATGTCGGGATGAGCTCTATCCCAGGGAAATGATGAGATTCAAAGAGAGAAGGATTGACTTTAAGATGATGATATTGAGAGAATCAAACGCTGAAGTTATATCATTGGTTTGGATCGTATTTCAAATGTCACGAATAGTATTGTTAAGTAAAGAAGGTTTGAGATAATTTCGAACATGGGTACGTGAGTGGCGGCGGATAATAGACTGCAAGTGATGATCAATTTCGGCAAAATAGCCGATAGTGTTAGAGAGTTATCTAAGGTGTCGTTAAGGATCCTCCAGTTATTCAGAGAACTTAGATTAGGTGTACAGATCGAAATATCTACGCAAGAAGATACGGAACCCAAATGACTAGGATCTTGAATTGGAGCAGCGACTACGCCAACAAATATTTTGACTATTAAAATCACCACATATTAACGCAGATAATTCGGATCTGTATGAAAATAATCTGTTCATTTCATAGTCAGAAATATTATTTACTTAGGTGGAATATAACAACAAATGATCAGGTGTTCCCTGAACGAAGTGTGAATGGTGCAGCTGCAAGCTTCAATAGGTACACAATTTGCGAAATTAGAAGTGTATGATAATGAAGGCTTGTTAGGTACAAGGGTCGCCACACAACGACCATGCGAGGAGTTGGAGATACGATCAAATCTAATTACATTATAATTCTTAATAGAAAAAGAATCAGGAAGCTAAGTAAGGTAAAGTTTCAGAAAGACACGTGACGGAGATGTGATTACATTGACGGCTTTATTCAAGCCGTTTCAATTTGTTACGGATGCTAGTGCAGTTAGGTTGAGCATTTTCATTATTAATTGAGGGATCCGATAGGAGTACGAACTCGAAGGGGGTCGTTGGTTGAGAATGCTCATGTGAAGTTCGCTAGCTAGGTTAAGCGTCTGGCCAGTGTTAATAATAAAATTTAATTTAGAGGACGGCTTGATATTACATCATTTTGTGATCATTTCGTGATCGGAAGGAATATTGTTTGTGATCAAACTAAGCAAGAAAAATAGAAACGCATTTCCAGCGTTTCATTCTTTTATATTCGAATATTTACGTCATTATCGATTCAAGAAATCATTGTGAAAACGTTTCTGAATAGATTGGTGTAATAAAACGACGATCTATCTGAACTGCTTCTGGATATTGCATATATATATATATATATATATATATATATATATATATATATATATCGGACCATCGATCGGATCGATGTAGAGAATGATTATAAATAAAAAAATTCAGTAGTCCAAGCCTAACAACAGAAATATAAGATTAAAAACTTAAGATCGTTAAGCAAAAGACAATTTACGCAAAAATACATGAATTCCTGAATAATGCTTTATATCCATTATATATGCTTGAATAGTCAAGTAGGTAAGAATCACGATTTGATATATGTGCGCGAGTTCAAAGCTAAAACGCTGTATAGTTTCGTTTGGAAGTCAAGCCACCGCACAGTCCACAGTCTACATTCTCAACTGCAATTTATCCAAAGCAATCAAAGCGGCAAGTGTAACGTTACATATTTCCTTTCTGCAGCTGGTTATGTTAATGAATCGCAAAGTGAAAAATAGATTGTTTTCCAACATCTCTCGCTTCCACATTATTAGGCATAAAAGATTGTACGGCATAGATAATAAATCGAAATTGTTACATACTCAACAATTACTCAACCTAACCTATAAAAGTTTATAAAAAAAAAAAAAAAAAAAATTTATTTAAATCTTTTCAGTCAATTAGGAAAATTCACCCGATCACCCGATGAACTAATGAAATGAATGAAAAATTCCTTTGGAAGATACATCAAAAACTGAATGCATGCTGTAAACAATAACTCACATTGTTTTACGTTAGGGTCCAAACTTACTGAATGAACTGACTTTATTTTAGGAAATATAATTTACTTTAATTTGGAAATATTTCTATTGAAGACTAACAAAAGTCAACTATTGAATTAGAAAGAACATGCTCTAAAGGTTACAAGCGTAATGATGTCCTAATGCTTTCATAAAATTTGCGAATATGACTATACCCAAACAAAGCGTGAAATCGGCTCATTTTGACAGAGCTAAGTTTAGACTATACTTTTTATCTCGAAAGATGGGACCCATAAAAGGGAACTGAGTGCAGATATTTAATGGAAAGGTATTGCAAGATTTTTGTCTTAGGTTTTTGGTATTAATTTCTTAGTTCTCATGTGTTCGGCATCCCTTTCAAGAGTTTGCGAACAATTAATTACAGAAGAGCGCGATATATAATTGAACCTACTTTACTGCTATTTTAACACATCTCCATAGTCAAATAAATGCATTTACAAATCTCTCCGTAAGCATAACTACGAAAGATATTTGAAGCAACTTTTTTATCTGAAAGTTTTATTTTTCAAAAAAAAAAATGTCACTTTCATTTTTTGTGAAGAAGAAAAACAAGTCTTCCATATATACATATGTATATACTAGAAGTATGTATTTGTATACACATTGTATATATATGCATATATGTGTGCGCGCGTGCGCGCGCGTGTGTGTGTGTGTGTGTTTTTTTTTTTTTTTAAGTCTATATATATATATATATATATACCAAATATGCAAGCATATATTTTGCAGCATGTGCTTGCAGACCTTGACATTTGCAACATTTCACTGAAAGAGCAGCCGAACGCATATACAACATAACAACTTAGATTATAGCATTAAATCACTGCTCAAATTATTTCAAGGTTTTCTTCGTATGCGTTAGTTAATCAAAATCAATTTCATTCGTTGAATTTATTAATGAACAAAATGTATCGTTATGTTCATAACTGGTCGAAATGCTTCTTAAGTGCTTAAAACGCGACCAGCCGGTCAATGGATTTTTCAAAACTTATCACAATCGCCAAACTTAAGATAAATACCTGCTTGCATGTACGGTTAAATGAAAAATAAATCTAATCTAATAATCAGCTTGAGCTGAATATTTTCATATCCTTCCACGATAAGGGCGAACATAGCAAAAACATGAGGAATTTCATCTGCGCATACAATGTTTAAGGTTAAGATTATTAAGAAACCTCTCTTAAATTCTCAACAAATACATATATTAGTAGTATGTATGTGTGTATGTATGTATGTATGTATGTATGTATGTATGTATGTATATTTAAATGCATATATTTATGCATATGAGTAAAAGATATTATTTATGTGAATTATTTATCGTGTACATCGCATAAATGTATACAGTTAGTGTTAATTAATAAAATGTTTTATTTTATGGCCGGCGTTCAAAAATAAATACATTGACAAAAAACATTATGTGACTCTCACAAGTAGTACGGTTACCTTTATCCTTTATTGGAGAAATTTTACATATTTTTCTCAATGCTCACCGAATC